AGTGGAACTGGGCTGGAATTTTGAGAGAAATACAGACTGGTACAAAAATGCAGGCTAGTAATTTCGAATTGCTGTCAAGGCAGGCTTAGGGTTTAGAAATCTGGCACAAAACCAATGCGAGCTATAGATCTATTTAAATCTATTTCCACCCGTTTGCACCACAGAAGGTGACTAAGGCTGCTTGCTTACCCGTGAAGTTGATTTTCAGTAAATAATCCTTGTACAGCTTCTTCCCGTCCAGGATCTTCATCGCGTCACAGAGCTTGGTGGTGTTGGGACAGAGGGTGCGCTGCATCTTGTGCAGTGCATGGGCCATGGCGTAGACGGCGTTCACCACGAACATGATCTTGGACTCCTGCTCGTAGTTGCTGCTGTCGATGGCCAGGTGCTTGTCGCAGAGGCGCCGGTGGTTGCGCTTGTTCTGGAGGCTGCACTGGAACTTCTGCTCCCAGAAGTCCCGGAACCAGGGGTTGCGGTGGTTGTTGTAGGGGTTGAGGCTCTGGAAGTAGCGGTCGAACTGGCGCACTGGCTGCGAGGCCAGCTCCAGGGTGATGGCGCCATAGGCCACGTGCTCGCTGCCCTTGACGATGCTCTCCTGCGCGCCCCAGCCGTCGCTGGCCACCCAGGTGAAGGAGGCGTTAGCGCGGCTGGCGGCGGCGATGAGCTCCCGGGAGTCGTCACTGCGCATGAACAGCACGACCACGCGCGCGTTGGGCTTCTGCAGCAGCTCGCGTATCACGCTGTCGTAGGACTTGCGGATGTTGGAGCGGCCCACCTTCTCGGCCGTGGCGATGCAGATGTTGCGCAGGCGGGCTTCCTGCTCGAAGGCTTCGATCCCGGTCTCCCCGTAGTCCCCCTCCGAGGCCACAGTGGACACATAGGTCCAGTTGAAGAAGCGCAAGATCTCGGCCATGGCTTTGGCCTGGTAGAAGTCGGGTGGCACTGTCCTGGCGAAGTAGTCGTAGCGCGATTTGTCGCTGAGTTTGGCGCTGGTGGAAGCATAGCTTATTTGAGGAATCTGGAAGAGGCGTAGAAGATTTGCCACCTAGGGGAGGGAGAGTAGGGAAAGGACTGGTTTAGAAACTCAAAGGTAAATGACGAGGTATGAAAAATGACTAATACCCCACCTTATACTCAAGGTCTGCCTCTTGGTAGTTCTTGAAATGCTTCTTGGAGGCTAGCTTTTGAATATTTGGAAGCAGTTGGCATCAGGTTACTTGAGGAGAGGGTACAGTAGAAAAATGAGAAAGGCGTGCATTTCCCACTGCCTTACAAACTTTATGCTAGGAATACCTGTTCAGGTGACCGTGATGAAGTTGCTTTGCTGCTGGGTTCCTGGGGTCATGTGTTGACCCAGTCCAACTGACAGAAGAGTGCGGTACTCAGTGTTTAGACCATTCAGCTGCAGTTGCTTAGAAAGTGCCTGGGTGTTATCTGATTCTCGCTTCCTCCTCTTTTGCTAAAAATGGCAATCCCTGGAAGCATTTAATTTGGGAACTGCATGCCACATGGACAGTGAAATAAGACATTTATTATCTAGGTTAAGTGGAGGGAAAACCCTTGCAAAAACAAACACATCAAAACCCTTAAAATTCTCTTTGGCCCACTCCAAATCCTAGGAATATACTTTACTTGTCTAAACTCTGAAAAACTTGACCAGAGCTCTCTGGATTTACTTTTAAATTTGTTTCTTTGTGGTCGTTTTGAACATATACGAATGCTATGCTTAGGATATATTTCTTAAAAGTAAAAAAGGGCTGTATTTAGAACCTTTTCAAGAAAAAAAAAAAACACCTTTCCATGGAAAAACACCTCCATGAAAATTTTCAAAATTTATTCTAATTAAAAAATCAATTATTCAAAGCTTATTAAAAATTTCTTATAACATACTTATTATTTTTCTTTACTTTTTAATAAAAATTTAAAGTTTCTCAAGAAGCATTTTCATGTATAATGAGTATTATTTGCATAGCTATATTCACAAATCTAACCAGATCATCAGTTTATCTAAGGGAAATTTGAGTTTCTTTTTCCTTAACACAGTTCATTGCAGTTGAGTTGAAACTGACTCAAAGCTGCCCCTCCACCAGGTTTTCAGAGGCTGCAAATTGCCTGGAAAGACATTGCCCATCTTTCTCTTGAGAAGCCCTAGTAGGTTTGATGTGCTTGCTTTTTGGCTTGTCAGCACAACTCCTACCCACAGCTAAGAACATTTATCTCTATAGGGACTTTTTTGTTGTTATGTGCCATTGAGTTGTTTGCAACTCACAGTGACCCTATGTACAACAGCTCTGAACCCTGAATCCTGAGCCAACCTTTTTGTCTCTGACACATCTACCCTCACTACCCCAGTCACTGAGTCAATCTATCTCATCGAGGGTCGTCTTCTCTTGTGCTGTCCCTCCCCCCTCCCAATCATGATGTCTCTCTCCAAGGACTGGTTCCTCTTTGCAACATGGCCAGAGTATGTCATATGAAGCTTCAGAATTCTTGCCTCCAAGAAGCAGCATGATTTCACCCTCTCTAGGACAAACTTCTTTGTTCTCCAAGTAGTCCGTGGTATATTTAATACTTTCTCCAGCACCTCAGCTCACAGGCATCAATTCTTCTATCATCCCTAGTCATTGTCCAGCTTTGTGATGAAAAGCAAGTAATTGCGAAGACCATGACCTGAATCAGGTGCACCTTAGTCTCCAGACTGACATCAGCTAAATTATATAATGCACTATATGTACTTTAGCCAGAAAACTGTACTGAATATTCCAACTCCAATTCTGAGTGCTTTGAAGTTTCCCATCTGGAAATTGTGGTTTCAGGTTTATGTTTGACATGTAGGAAGCACAGCTTGAAATAAGCAGCTGTTAGCAAAGAGCAGAGGCAACATAAAACAACTGTCATCTGAGTCCTAATTAATCATGAGTTCATCTGGCCATGCCACCAACAGCCAAGTTCATGTATGGCCACACAGCTTGTTTTGCAGATCTGACCTTCTATTAAAACCAACACGTCATATAGCCTAGAGTTAAAAAAAAAGGTTTTCTATATTTTTTCCCCAAATCTTAGTGCCTCTCATTTGACTATGAGTGGAACAAGAAGCACTTAAAATACACAATAATGCAAATTTAGAACCCAAATCTTTTTTTGCATTTGGCAAGCACACTTTTGATAGTCTGAGAGATAGTTGCTTTTGGGACAAGAGAAATAGCTGAAATTAGATCAAGAGGTCTAGCTCTTCCTTCTCTAAACCTGGAGAATCTGGACAAAATGGTCTTTAGTTAGTCATTTGATCACGAAGTATTGTTTATTCAACATAACTGAAATTGAAGGTCATACCAACTTGCCATTGCCATTATTTTTGGAATAAGTACTTGCCTGCCTTTGGATTTATGGACCATAAGGGAAGGCAGATAAGCAAGAGCCCTATCTGTTTGTAAACTTAGATTCATTATGGTGTTCCTAAGTAACAATGCAGATACTATCTCATCTTCATACAACAGTTTTCTCATCTTAAAGTTTTGTTTCTCAGGACATGAACACCTCATGGGGACAGAGAATGAAAGGATCTGAGAAATTCCCAGAGTGATCATTTTCTGGCGGAGAAGACCCATACTGACAGTATCCTAAACTGCTAAAACTAGCTCCTCTCAGAGGGGTTGGAGTACTGAGAAGCTGTTTAAAGAAAAGAGTGTTGGGCTTTTGATTGATTGGATCCTGTGGCTACATGTCTACCTCTCTAGGATGTCTGGAACAATTTACAAACAGGGCCGACTGTACAAGAGAACGAATTGAACATCCAATGAGGGCCGCTCAGAAGTCTCTCTACCCTGGAAAGGGACACAGTGAACGTGTTGGGGAGGACTCTGTGTGTGTGTGTGTGTGTGTGTGTGGTGGTTTAGATGGAGAAGTGGTAATTGATATTCACAGATAATTAACCTCAAGGTGGTGTCCCTACAGAATCTACCAGTGACTCTGAGGGACAAAGGCGGCTGATCTCCACCCCTGTGTGACGTACAGTCTTGGAAGCCTAGCGGAGGATCAGCCATAAGTTGGCTCCACTTAATGGTGGCAAAAGTTGAATTTTAAAGTTCATTACCAAAGCAATAGAATAAAAAAGAACAGTTACAGATCCATATATGTGTTTATTGTGCAAATATAAAAACAACTTACTCTTGAAAAGGAGAACATGTTTGTGAGGTGAAAGCTGCGAGTGTGAGACTAGTGAGGAAGTGAGTGTGAGCTCCCTTCTACCCGCGTATTGACTGTTGTGGTGCTTCACAAGTTTCACATTGAGTTGTGTCCCATCTCCCAGCCTCTTCTTCCATTATACTCGTCAAAGTGAGTTTGCGATTTCTATTCACTAGTTCTTCCACTGGGACAAAAACTTTTAAGGGCAAGGGGAATGTGTCTTATTGATTTCTGCATCCTCAATGTCTAGTAGAAGGTGCACCGCACTAGTATTTGTTAAAGAAATGAACTGGTGAATACAATGATAGTCTGTTGCTCGAGAATATACTCTTCCCTATGCTGTGGATTAGATTGCTGGGCAACACAGAAATTAGGCTAACAGACAATTTAAAGCTACCTTGAAACCCTCTAATAAACAATTTGCTCTCCAGTGCGGATTCTTCATTGTGACATATAAGACAAAGAATTGATTTAGAGGTATGTCTGCATACCACTAAAACAAATTTATTTGAATTACCTCCATTGCAACTGTAAGTGTACAAAATGTACAGTAAGTCATTAATATATCAGTTAGACCTAGTCATTGTTGTACCAATCTCCTTAGGTAGCTATTACTAAAGTAGGTATTATGGATTGAGGATTATGTTACTGAAAAAAAAATTTGTTGATGGTGACTTAGTGGATAGAGAGTTCTGCTGTCAATCTAGAGATAGGCAGTTTGAATTCATCAGCTTCTCCAAATGAGAAAGATAGGCAATCTCCTCCTGGTGATTTACAGCTTCTGAAAGCCTGCTGGAGGGTCAGCTATGAGTCCTTTCCTATTTGAAGGAAAAGAGTAAGTTATATAACTGAAGGCAATGAGTCAGTAAGTTATAACTGTAAATAAAATCCTGTTTGGAAATAAAGGTTTTGCTTTTCTTGTGTTAATGTGCTCAAACCAGTATGGGAAGGATCATAAACCTAATCACTTCTGAACTATAAAAAAGACCAGAATAGACAGCACACACAGGGGAGAGACGAAAACACAGGATGGAGACAGTGCATCAACAAACACAGGAACTGCAAGGATTGCTGGCAGCAAGTGGAAGCTAAAACAGACAAGGAGAGCATAAATTCATTCTTTCACTTCCTGAACTGTGGGGAAATACATTTCTACTCTTTAGAGCCATTCACTCATGGTATTTTTGCTATGGTAGACCAGGTGACAAAAATAACAGGCTTTGCCAAAGAAACAGGTACTAAACTGTACCTAAATGTAGGTAAATGTTTTTTTGGAGACAAATTTATTATGTGTGAATCACATAAGCAACCAAACACCCAGGGCTCACATCAGCTGTTAACTTGTTATGTGTCTGTCTTCAGGAGCTAGACAAATTCTGTAATGTTTTATCCTCAAAATTAATAGCTGGTTTCTGAAGGACCCTACTGTAGGCATCTTAAGTCATCCTGATGCCCTGATGGGAATTTTGAGTTAAGAAACAACTTAATTGGATTCTCTCCTAGTATTTGTTAGCACATGAGGACTCTTTAAGATTCCGGCTGTTATGCCCCTGTCTACTGAGGCTCTTAATCACCAGAGCAAAAGAATAAGGACCATGGCAAAGATATCAGACCATCCACTATTATTTTGATATTCTGACAAGAACAGAATGTTAATAGGAAGTTTCAAAGTTGCCTTGTGAGTTTCTACATCAATGATACATGGTCACACTCTCTGCTCTGTAGAGGGCACATAGTAGCTATGATGTGTCTAATTCAAATGTCAGCTTCATGACTTCTGTGGTAACACAATGCCAAATAATGTTTGTGAACAGAAGAAAAAAAAGGACCATTCAGAGTCTACTAGAAATGTTTCTCACT